ATCAACCCGTGCGTTGCGCAGTTCTCAACGGCACGTTGAGAGATCCTCAACGCACGCTGTATGGGCGGAGACACAGACGGCTCGAGCATGCGAGTGTGAATGTTCGCGCGAGAGAACGTGTCTAATCGGGCGAAACTGCGCAACGTGGCCGTTGAGAACTGCGCAACGCAGGGTTGACTCTGCACCAGTCCAATAACATTGGCGGATCGCGCTAGGACCACTGACCCAAATGCGCCCGCGCTTTTCAAGCAGCGCCACGTGGCAACCGACAGCGAAGGGTGGGGCTTGCGGACGAAGGTGTGAGTTGGTTGGACGAGCTCCTTGCGCCTTTGTCGCGCACTTTCAAGCGGCAAAAGGGGCGCGACATCAACGCTTGTCCGCCTGTCTACTACCTCCGGGATAGAACAGGCGAGCGCGCCCCATCCCGCAGCGTGCCTTTGATAGCATAGCAGTGCCTAATCAAAAATTGAAGCACTTCTCGACCAACCTAGACATTAATTTGGTAAAATTCCTCGTTGACAGATCAACTCTTTAGAAACTGGGTAAAAAAACTACAACACTCCTAGCTCATTAAGACGTATCTTTCCAGGACCACGTTCGCGATATGCTCGAGTCGCGAAACTCGCTCGAAACGTCGACGACGCGGGAGCATGATCGTTCCGGATATGTCACGGTATTGCAAGCTGTTGCTTTGCGGCCTAGTTAGCGTGCGAGTGACCTAACCCTTACCTACGTTTTCGACCGACTTTCTGCACGGACGACTTAGTCGTTCCCGCTGAAAGCCAGTCCCACCGTACGGAATGTGTGTGCTTCCCTGATCACTACTAACACACCTTTGCAGGATGTTTCAACAGCAACTTGGCAATTCTCAACGCAGTCGTTCTCCTTTTCTCCGCGATCCGGTGTGTGTCAGTGAATGGAGCCAGAGACGATATCCTCAAGGTCTGCTCGCTAGATTTCCTTTTCCAGCTAACAGCTAGAAGTAGAGCTAGTTCTCTTAACGTATCATCGCTACTAACATCATTTTTCCTGCCTAATCGCAAAATAACGACTTTGCTTATGCTTTCGCGCGCTTCGCTTTCAGAGGGATAAAAGCTTGGCCACATGTGGCTCGACAATCCACATCTGTGGCTGATGATTCTGGACAATCTATACGTGAACTACAGGAGAGCTACGATCGAAAAGTGGAGCGATTTTCTTCGATGCCGATGTTGCATGCGACGGATCGCACCTTCATACGAGTGAAGGCCCGTTTGATGTGACCATCTAACTGAGAAGGATGAGCTCATTAACGCTTTCCTCTTCCTTAGGACCGCCAGCATTTCCTAGATGTTCAGATCTATTTATAGGATGATAAACCGAGGAGCATTATGAAGCGACGAGAACTCGAAACTAGAGATCAGATGCTGCATCCATCAGCTGACAATCAACTGATCGAACAGAGACAGTATCATCGTACGCAGAGTAACGTCAGTAACAAGGTTGGTTTTGGTGCCGTCGTCTTATCGGCTCTGACGTCACAAAAGAGTTTTCCCTGAGTGCTAAGTGGTTGAGGAGGGGCCAGGAGGGCGCGGACATTCTTCTCCGTGGCGCTTCGCCTTCCGAGCGATAATAGTCGAACTCGAACATTTCAGCTTTTCACGCTATCAAGTGCTCGCGTTCACCCCTCCCCCCCCGCCCCTAGACGCCCTTCGTTTGGTTTTTTTACGCTCCCCTAGCTCAGGATTATCCTCTGAAAGTACGCAACATGCCACCCGCGATCAGACGCCGCGTACGGTCTCTCAACTCACCTAGCCACCTTTCCTTATCTAAAGTGACTCACGGCAGTTCCAGGCTTCCTTTATATGCAGAAATTTCAGCCAATCTGTACGAGACGGTGCAGCGTTTGAAGGAGACACGTCCACGGAAGAAGTCGAGCGACGCGTTTCAACGCAAAGAACGTCGTGATCGTCGTTCCAGGCATCATTCTTCATCACGCCATCATGGCTCCCATGGATGGGAGAATGGCTACAGCTCAGGTTAGCACACATTTCATTTTTGCACATCGCCGAGAAAGGGTCTTTGAAACACTGTCACCTCAAGCAATTGCGGCCACGCATTGTGGGTGTGGATGGGGCTATACGAAGTTATTACGAAAGTAGCTCCATCACGGAATAATCGGCCATTAAATCGTTAGCCACGCACGATAAATGCTCGTTTACGAAGAGTACACCATGCAAAAAAAAAACTGCGTAGCATAGACGGAGTCGTACCATCGGCTCTTTCACACACTGTGCAATGCCTTTAATCTTTTGTTCAAATATAGTGTGAGTTTTTGAGGTACCCGACAGGAGGCCCATCCCGTGGCGAGAAGGCAGAGACGCGGGCGGGTCGCGGCGCGTACTGTAGCAGTCGCGCGTCTAGATAAATGGCATGTAATGTAGTACGTCTACACCACACAACGCGCGCTGCATTCGTTCACGCCTTTGCCCTTTCGCAGCGCGACGGGCCTCCTGTCGGGTACCCGAGTTTTTGTAGAAGGAACAGGACCGCCGGCGAAATCGATGCCCACTTCCATTGTAGAATAGCTAGGCACATGAGCAGAAAAGTATTTTGCTCATCCTGGAGTAAATTTAGAGAGAGGAAATTTCTACAGCTTCTCTGGATCAGGAAGGATAACACTCATTCAGAGAATCCCTGTTTTCCTGGTTAAAACAACAACAAACAAATACTTGGTTTCTGACAGAATCACACCTTCTGGTGGTCGATTTACAGAAGCGATAGAAGCACCACAAAATTTGTCGTAGGCATTGTTTGAACTTCTTGAAAAATCGATTTTTCTGGCGGTTCCCTGCTCCTTGCAATTGTGGAGTTTTCTCTGTTTCGTCTGAAGGTGGAGGGTTGTATAGCTGTGTGTGAATGGTGGTGACTAATCGGCAGCGGAGGTTTCTAGAGCGTCGCATCGTTTCTGTTCCTCCTCCGCAACGTATCATCTACCAAGAGTCGAAACGTTCGATGACAAACGATGAACTCGACAAAGTCGTACGTGAAGCGTACGAAGCAGCCGACGAAGCTCGTCGTGAACACTACCGTATGTTCCGTGTAATTAACGCCTTTGTGTTTGTATGTGTGCATGCTCCCTAACACTTACGATTTTCATTACATCTCTCCTCATTGCGAACAATGTTAGGAGCAACTAGAGTTAGGTTCGTGAAACTCGTCCAACGCGCCCCTTCTCTATCCCAAGGTGGAATGTGGCTGAAATAGGGGAGGTCTCTGTACGGGGCGTAATCGGTGGTTTCGTTTGCTTTCCTTCTCTTTTACAGACCACCTCCCACCTATAGCTTCATAACTGAACGCTTTTCCACACCTATTTTATCCCGAATCTTGCCTTTAACATATTTAACCCGAACCGAACCATTTCCGTGCTAGCGAGCCGCGTGGCCGCGCGTGCGTACGCGTCGTGCTCCACATGGTGGCGCACACGGCTGCACGGGGCACGGAGGGCCGTGCACTACATTATAGCGCATTCGGTATCGGCAATGTGTCAACGTGCTCCTTCGAAAGTAAGGAGGTCCTCGGTCAGCGTCACAGCGGTGTGGATGACTGCTTCGTGTAGCTGGCCTTCTTCCCTTATTAGCATGTCTCAGCGGTCTTTAATTCACAATTATTTTGGCTTTCCGTGATTTTCATATAAATGTGGATGATTTTCTATCTTTCTCGATATTATTAAAATTTGTGCATGTTTTTGGATAATACTTGATTTTACTTGATGCCAATCTCAGTCTGGCTTTTTAGTGCAACGAAGCCGCCCGCGCTTTGAGAGCACACCGCCTTGTTTCATTTAAAACGAAGAAGAAAATAGATTGTAACAAAATTTCAAGGTACTCACTTTGAATGCCTGAGGGACTGGTTCGGGTCCCTCTTTGACGATTTCCGAGTCGATGAGCTTGTAGCCAGCTCGACGCTCTCGCGATCTTTCCAGCAGCTGTTCACTCTTCCGGGCCAACTCATCCAAATCTTCGTTCTAGAGGTGCGATTGAAAGCGAAGCGACTGACTACTTGTCAAGAAACACACACGCACTCTGCACACGTCTCGGAGCAGAGACGCGCGGGCTGGGGCATGAGAAGAAGTGTTTATGCGTCAACCACGTCTTTTGGACGAGTTGTGGATAGCTCAATCGCAAAAGGAATACAAAAATAGCGACACCTTAACATTGATGAGATTACAGAAAATTGTTGAGTGATAGGTGACTTTTTCTAGTTAAGCAACTGACGCAAAACGAACGGCAGCCTCCCCAGTTCACACCAGCAGTTACAGCTGTTTTTAGAGCCGGTCTACAAAAAGAGCTCCAATTATGGATATGGTCCCTATACTCCAACTTAGG